TACTAAAGTAGCTATAAGTCTGCAAGAAAGGCCTAAGTGCACGTACCATTTTGGGGTTTTTTATATCTCACCGAGGTCTACTTGTCGTCAAAAGATGGAATGCAAACAGCTTGGACACCTCGGTGTGTTCTCTCGTTAGTTATCATATCGTTCAGAACATTCTTAGCTGCTGTAGATAATCCTGTTTTTTATATTAAATTTTAATCATTTCACTTAGACACTTTCTATACTAAATATTGAAGAGAATTGTTTTGGTGTTTCTGGAATGCGGGATATATTAAAAACTTTACAAGAGAACGACGTAAGTTCATTAAATTATGAATTAGACATGAAATACTTGTCTTTCATTTTAGACATGCACAATATTATATTCTCCAAAAGGTGAACAAGCAGCAAATAATTTAGCATCAGCTCTACAAGAATGTGATGTAAACTAAAATTTTCTATCTACTATTATCGTATATATTAATTTGATTTACATAAGAAAACTACTATATTAAATTTTCAAAACAATCCTGTCACTGTTAATGATGCATACAGGATTAGTCATAATCTGTACGCTCTAGCAGTAAGATTTATTATTTATTTCGATGAATTTATATATGATGTCATTGTAGTTTGTAACTACATTAAACTTTCAAAATTGTCAAATCATTGATAAAGGAATGAGATATTTGTGTATTGCATTAGGAAAAAATCAAGTAAAAGATTTATCCACTAGATGATACGGATATTTCAATGAATATATATATATAGATGTTAGTTACGATAAATTTACAAAATAACTTCATTACAAATCAATGTGTTCATTCTTTAATTAATGCATTATCACTAAATAGAGTAAATTGAAATTTAGATCTTTCGATATTTAATTATTAAAATTTAGACATTAAAAACATTAAATTTGGAAGGAAATAATATTTCAAATGAAATGGCACAACGTATCGCAGATTATATACAACAAACTACAGTCAGTGAATGAATTCTTTGGATTTTTTGTTTTGATTTTCTTCGAAATATAGCCAATTGTTGGATTAAATTTTGAAAGAAATGCTATTCATGAACGAAAAATGCAACAGTTGATTCATTCACTACAAAACGATACAGTAATATTAATTCTCAATTGCGAATATTATTGAGCCATTCTATAGACACTGACAACATGGGATCTTCAAAATAAAAGAATTGATAAGTTAGCTGTACGTCCTATAATAAACGCATTATACAATAATACAGTAAATTTAGTATTCTTTTGCTCTCTCTTTAATTTATCCGTTTTTCTCTCGTATTCTACATAGATCCTTACAACATTGAATTTATCAAACAATGGAATTCATAATAAAGGTGGACGAATGATTGTCAATATATTACCATATAATCAAGTATGGTTAAGGATTGAATCATACTAATTTATAATATTTCATTTAGACACTTCTGACAATTAATCTTCAGCATAATGAAATTGGTGATGTTGTAGCTAGACGTTTAGCAAAATCTTTAGAACGAAATTCAGTAAGATTTCAATATGACGACGATTACTGTTTTTTTTTCATAGAAATTATAGACATTAAGAAATATAGATATTGGATGGAATAAGATTACTGATGAAGGTGCTCGATATTTAGCTGGTGCTTTACGAAAAAATAATGTAAGTTCCTTTTTTTTTCATTATCTGACTTATTCGAAATGAATTAATTTTTAGTCACTTCTAACAGTAAATCTCGAACATAATAAAATTAGTTCGAAAGGTGTACAAGACTTGATCAAAGTATTCCAAGATAATCAAGTAAAATCTCTTTCTTTTCACATTGTCTTATTTACTTTCAATCGATTCATATAGACACTAAATATGTTGAATTTAAGTGATAATGAAATTACTGATGAAGATATGATTAACAATATCAGAATGAACTTTTTAAGAATTCAAATTTAATAGACAAAATTGATTAATATTTTTTTTTCAAGAATAAACTACACTATAAAAAATGAATCATAAGTTCATAACCTGTCAACAATGTTGTGTCTTGAACAGCAGCATTTGTTCGCGTACATGTTTAGATAGTTAATTACCTATCTGTCTCTATCGGAACGAACGGAAAAGATCGCCTAGAGATGAGAGAGAGCAAATGTTTTTGTGCAATGCATCTACGAAAGCAATTGAATGAAAATCTCGTAGTTTGTGCTTACTGTACACAATTCTCAATGAGTGCTAAACATCATATATAAATACCGCTGTACAAGATACAGGAATCCAATTAATCGTTATTCAATTACTATATTGTGTTTCTTTTCAAAATTGGTACCCTCAACACTTAAGCACCTGTTCAGTGCCTCAGCATCTTGGCATCGTTACCACTATCTTCATCATAATGTAACTCACTTTAATTATTCGAAAATTATTCTGAATAATTGGTTTCACTATAAATAGTAAAGAATTTTTGCTTTAAACATACATATAATGAAGTGCTCGGATAGGTACTCTTGATGAAAATCAAGTATTTCGTATATGATTCTTATGTCCTTTGGAATAAGTTCATATTTATTAACCCTTTCAGGACGGGGTAGTTTTTTTTCAGAAATATATAGCGACTAAACTTTCAAAAGCTTAATAATTATATCTTTTGTGGGAAGTTATTGGAATTCTTTTAGAGTATGATAGTCACGGAAACACTCCGTAATACATAATGCAACATTACAGTCTGCACATTCATATCTAGTGTCCGTTCTTTGCTTTAGACGTTGGACAGTCCTGTAACATACCACACATCGCCGTCTCCCATTGCTAATCACCCATGTAAAAAAAATAAGGCTAAAAATCAGCAGACTCATGATTTTGATCGATTTCAAGCATAATTAATCGATTAAAACCGAGAGATTTAGATTTTTTTGATTAAATTCCAGATTTTAATCGATTTATTTACATAATTGATTCGGAATCAATGAATTTTCTTCGATTATCATCGATTTTCTTTATGAGAATCAAATAAAATCGATTATTAGCGACTATAATCGGTTCTCTACGATTTTTATTAAGCAATTAGAATCGATTTTCAAAGATAATCGATTTGAATCATTATTTGATGGTTTTTTGGTCATCTGAAATCAACTGTCACGGATTGTAATCTACTAAAATTGATTTCGTATTCGAATCGATTATAATCCTGAATTTCGGAACCACCTATAATTCAATGAAGCTGATTATAATCTAACTAAATCAATTAGATTTTCAAATCGATTATAATCAACAATTAATGAATTGCGTAAAATTAAATAATACTGTTAATAATTTAAGAGAATCGATTGAGATTCCGAATCGATTATAATCATTGACTTAAAAACCACCTAAAATCAGCTGACATTGATTATAATCTACGAGAATCAATCAGGTTTTGCAATCGATTATAATCAATCAGTTAAGAATCCTCTAAAACCCATGTAAAAAAATTTAACAGAAAAATCAACAAATACATGATTTTCATCTATTTCAAGCATAATTAATCAATGAAAATCCAGAAATGTTGATTTTTTTCGATTCATTTGAAGATTATAATCGATTTCCTTGCATAATTGATTCAGAATCAAAGTTTTTTCATCGATTATCATCAATTCTTTTCATTGGAATCGAATAAAATCGATTATAACCAACTATAATCGGTTTGCTACGGTTTTTTATTAATCAATTAGAATCAATTTTTAGGGATAATCAATTTTAATCAGTATTTGATGATTTTTTGATCGTCTAAATCAACTATCAAGGATTATAATCTACTTAAATCGATTAAGTATTCGAATCGATTATAATCATGAATCTCAGAATCATCTAAAATCTAACGAAACTGATTATAATCTAACAAAATCGATCAAGTTTTCAAATCGATTATAATCATTAAAGTAAGAATCGTCTAAAATCATCCGATGCTGATTATAATCTAAAAAAACGATTAAGTTTTCAAAACGATTACAATTATTAACATACGAATCGTCTAAAATCAATTAATACTAATTATAATCCACCACAATCAATTAGGTTCTTTACTTTCTAAAGATGTAAATTTTCTTTATCGTTGTCTACATGAGTAGATAAATTAAAACACGTTATGAGAGAAGTAGAATACAAGTGAAAAGGAATGAAAAATAAATTATTCAGCGGAATGAAGCAGTGTGATGATGCCAAAACGCAGTTGTGATTATTACAGAAAAAAGTATATGGGAGTGGCTAGTCAACCTGATACTCCAATTCTTTTTTTGTACGTGAAGCTTCTATAATATATGAGAAAAATATGATTTTTTTTACCGGTTATAGTCCTCGTACAATGCTGATGATCTGTCAGGGATAAGGAGGTCTATAACTTGTTGGAAATCAAAATAATCAAGTGTCTTCAAAAAACCTTTTTCTTATTTACGAACATGTTTTGTGAAGACTTGATTATCTTGGTTTTCAACAAGTTATAGACCACATTATCCATGACAGATCATCAGCATTATACGAGGCCTATAACCGGCAAAAAAAATCGTATTTTTCTCATATATTATAGAAACTGCACGTACAAAAAAGGAATTCGGATATCAAGCTGACCGGCAACTCCCATATATTTTTAGACTAATGACTACTTTAATGCAGTATTTTACAAAAAAAATGAGGAAAAAAGTTTAATTATTCTTCGATAATAAAATGCACGTGGCTTCATAATTAAAAATCGCAATCAAGTTGTTACAAAACTTCTTAGTCAACATTTGTTTCATTGCTTTTCACAGTTAAACTGGAAACTGCAATTGAATGTAGAAGGAAGTTTTATCTAAATCTCGGAAATGAAATTAGAACGAGTTTTCATTTATACGTTTAAACAAATATTCAACCTTACCGTACAGGAAAAAAATAACTGAAAATGAAAGGTCATTTTTGTTTTCATAAAGTCAACATTAATTAAAATACTATGAATAGCTAATCAGAAAAGAATAGAGGAAAAATAGATAAGTAATTCAAGCACATTTTCTCTACGTTTGATTAGAGTAAATTATTGTTTTTTTAGTTTATAACTCTAATCTACTTTTTTACATTCTAATGGATAAATGTTTTGCTAAATATTCTGCGAAGAAATGAGCATCAGTGCCACATTGAGTACTCATGCTTTCCCTAGTGTGTAAATCCGCAAAGAAAAATACACATGAGTACTCGTTAAAGTAATCGGAAAGTACCGATACATACAACATCTCTTTAGGGGTTGCGTCAGCAATCTGAATACTCATGCTGGCAAGCCGTACTCGCTGGATGCGTACATGCATTACACCGCAAAAAAGGCGTCGAACGAATCCTTTGAGTTTTGGTGGAACTTTACCATACATTAACCAGCTACTTTTCTACACCAAGCTCCTTCTGCAAGCAATAGAGAACGCTTCACTTATGCGACAATCAAAATTTCCTCGCTGAACCTTTAAAATTTTAACATCTTATCAAAAGAAACATACTATCTGCTTGATCAACAGTTTTCTATATTTCGTTTTCAAGAATCAATATATATCCGGGTTTTGCTATAGCTTTTCAATGCCTATTAGTTGAAAGCATCGACATCGCAAATTGCTGATCTCCATTAGTGTCATATGATGAATGTCCTATCTGGATTTATATCCTTAACATATTTATTTTCGTGTCTCTTTCTAACGTTCGTTTTCATCCTAGTTCAAAAGAATGCGACATTTGTTCATTTTCACTTTAACGTAGATAGCAGAGACAAACGTACGGGTTAGTAGTAGACCATGCGAGCATATGTTTCGACAAACCAGTATAAATGTAAATATAAGGAATACACAGAGACAAAAGCTCATAGATATACAAGTATAGGCGATTAAGCATATCCATTGACAGGTTAAATATAGAAGGTTGCGGGAAAAAAGTTTAGAAACAGATAGATATAGCGTGGGTTAGAGTAGTATGGAGAATTACAAATAGATAAATATCAGGGGTTAGAGATAGGTATAAGGAGTTAGAAAAAAAACACTTATAAGACGCTAGCCATAGATATAGGCGTTAGAAATACATAGATACAAGGGGATTAGGAATAGGAGGTAGAAATAGACACTTGTAAGAAATTAGTCATACATATAGGGGTTGCAAATAGATAGATATAAGGGGTTAGGAATATGTATAGGGCGTGGCCAGCTAACTCTGCTACTGGAGTGAAATTCGATAACATGTTTCTCTCGTTTTGTTTTCTTCATAAATATCAGACTCAAGCACGTATAGAGCCTCAAGACGTCTTGAACTAGAGAGAAAAGTATTGTTCACATTTGACAATATATCCCAGCGTTATACCATTTGTCGTGCCGAAAGTATAACCAGCAAACTGAGTGGTGCTTTTGAATTCTCAAAAAAATTAATTTCTTAAATATAGCACTCAATTTGCTAGTCATATCTTCGGAACCACAAACGGTATATGACTTAGAGATATCGCAAATGCGCACAAGACTTTTATCTCTAGCTTAAGACGTCTCGCGGCTCTGCACGTGCTTGGGTCTGACATTTATTGAAAAAATAAAATGAGAGAAAAACGTTATGGAATTTCACTCCGCTAGCAGAGTTAGCTGGTCACGCACGATAGGGGTTAGGAATACATATACGGGTTAAGAATAAGTATAGGGTTAGAAATAGGTGTAGGTTTAGGAATAGATATAGGGATCAAGAATAGGTATAATGATTAGGAATAGGTATAGGGGGTTAGAAATAGATATAGGGGTTAGGAATAGGTATAAGGATTAAAAATAAGTATAGGGGTTAGAAATAGGTATAGGAGTTAGGAATGGTATAAGTATTAGAAATAAGTATAGAGGTTAGAAATAGGTATAGGGTTAGAAATAGGTATAAGGGTTAGGTATAGGGATAAGAAATAGGTATAGGGTTAGGAATAGGTATAGGGTTAGAAATAGGTATATGGATTA